GCAGGGCCGGAGCAGGGCCGGAGCAGGGCCGGAGCAGGGCCGGAGCAGGGCTGGAGCAGGGCTGGAGCAGGGCGCCTGGGCTCCTGGGACTCGGGCTGGGTCTCCGCCTGCTGCGGATGGGGACAGGGCTCTGTAGCCGTGAGAGCTCCGTCTACTCTGTGGCCCTCTGATTTTCGGGGCTCAGGCAGGCGCCTAGGGCTGGCAGCCCAGGTCTGAGGTCGGGAAGAAGCAGGCTTGGAGCAAGCTTGGAGCTGGCAGGCAGGATGTACGGCCCTCTGGGGCGGAAGTCGAAAGGGGTCATGTGAGGAGCACAGGTCAGTCGCGTGCGGGGGCGTGTGGGGTTGCACGCTGGAGGAGGCGGCAGGCAGTTGTGGCTTTGAAGTGTTTGACTTCAAAGTGGGAGAGAGTAGGCAGCGGTGGCCATGGAAGTGGGAGCTGGTGGGCCTGTGGGTGGGGTCTAGCTCGTCTCGGGGAGTGGGCCTGGGGGCCCTTGGGAATCAGGGCAGGCAGCACTGGAGGTTGGCGCAGGGACACTGTCTATCTCGCTATGGGCTGCTAGGGGCTCTCTAAAAGGAGCGTCCAGGGTCCCCGGCTGATACTCAGAGGTTCGGTTTCTGCAGAAGAGGCAATGAAGGCCAGCCCTGCCTTCCGAAGACCCAGGTGCTGCTGGCAGTCCTGATGGTCACAGCACTGGCTGGCCGAAGCCAAGGTCAGTGAGCTGGGGTTCAGCTGGGTGCTGTCCTTGGCTTGGGCCTCTGAGGAGTAGAGGCGCCTGCTGGGTCCTCAGATGGGCTGTCCACACGTGTGCTGCAGCCGCCCAGCTCCGTCTCCCTCCAGCTCCCACCCCTGGGCTGAACGGACCCCTGAGACAGCGGGTGACTCCTGCCTGTGCCGGGCCAGGTCAGGAAGGCCTTGGAGGATGCTGGACGCAGGTCTGTGCTGCTGCTCGCGCTGTGCAGCTCTGGGCCCCTTTGATGTCCCTGCCTGTTGAGAACTGCGGCTGCTGCAGAGCCCTGCCCCTGAGAGACTGCAGGGAAAATACTGCCTTTCACAGAGAGCAGGGAACTCCGAACTGTGTCAAGGAAGGGCTCTATTTTTAAATTTCGCTTTTTCCTTTTATTCGAAGACAAAATGAAAAGTAGCTAAAAGCCACACACACAATAACCAAGCTCTTCTACATCAAAAAGCCAGTGTCAGGTGACTTTTCATGCCCAGACTACTTGACAGTATTCTTTTAAAATAACAGGAGCAGCAAGGAGTTCCGGGGCCAGTGCCGCTCCTCAGGTGTCCGCTTTCTTACAGATGCAGAAGCTCATGAAGGCAGCCAAGGAGGGCACCAAGGATGGGCTGGAGCGGACCAAAGCCGCCGTGAAGAGGGGCCGCTCCTACATCAGAACCAAGTCCTTCATCTCCCAAGGTCCAGACGCGTTTGCCTGGATGGGGTCTCGTCCTGGGGCTGTGGCGGGAGGATTTGTAAGGGATACTCTCACACAAGGCGCAGGAATGAAGCGCGTCCCCAGGAAGTCAGCTCTCAGCTATGGCCTCTCAGCAGGGCCGGTACTAACTGCCTCATCCTGGGCCCATCCCAGCACCCCGAAGGTGCCAGAGCCCCAGACCTGCACAGTGGGCACGCTGGCAGTGTGTTTGTACTTGATCCAGTGCCAGAAAACTGTATGAGAGCGTTGGGGCCTCCCGAACCTCACCAGGGGATGGGACATGGCCTGTGTGTTCCTTAGGTACAGAGGGCTATGTCTGGGGCAGCGTGCTGGGCACCCCAGGGGTTCCTCGGAGCCTGTGGCATGCACCTGCCCCCGTACCTGCAGGATGCTCTCCTGGGTTTGTGAGCATTCATTCTTCTGCATCTAAGGCTGCTGCAGATCTCCTGGGCGCAGTGTATGCTGATGTATGTGTGGGTTTAGATGAAACTAGGTGGGTGTGGGGATACATGCCTGTCACTCCAGTGCACTGCAAGGCTGAGGGAGGAGGACCCCAAGTGTGAGCTTACACAGCCCGGGAAACTTGGCAACTTAGCAAGGCCTTGCCCCCAAATAGAAAATACAGAAGGACTGGGAATGCAGCCCAATGCCAAGGCCCTGGGTTAAGTCTCCAGTAACACACATACACACACACATGCAAGGAAGCACTGCACCCTTGCTGCTTCCACACTGAGTGGCCTAGGAATGCCCTCAGCCATTGGAACTAAACTGACCTGGCCCTTAGCACCCACCCTGAGGAGCGCTGTGTGAGGAGTTCTGTTCCTCTCCGGCTCGCATGGTCTCGGAATGAGCTGTCCCTGACCTTCCACCTCATCCCTGAGCTGGGAAACGAGGCTTGGATGTGCCCGGCTGCTGCCTAGTACCTACCAGTCTCCAGGGAGGGCCTGGGTACTGGCAGCTTGCAAAGCCAGCAACCAACATCTCTGGGGCAGGGTTCGGCATCTTCAGATGAGAAGAGTAAGGTTCCATGACCTGTAAAGACCTGTGTCCTTCTGCAGTCTTTAGCCAGCTCTCTGTGGCTGTTTGTGAACCCATGGCCTTCACACTGAGCTATAGCCACAGCCCTGATTTTTTAGTCTTTGATTTAGAGACAGGTTCTCCCTAAATCACCCAGGCTGGGCTTGAGTTTGTGATCCTCCTGCCTCAGTCTTCCAGAGTACTGAAAGTACAGGTGTGTGCCACTGTACCAAGCTGTATCTGGCTTTTAAAAACGGATTTAGTTTTCATTTAGAAGTCTTGATTTTTGGAAAACTTTTCTTTAGACTTCCAGGGAGAGGTGAGGACGGACAGTCGGGAGACTGACTGAGTCCCAGCTGTGTCTTCATGGTGTCAGCTGTCGCCCACCGTCCTTGGCTTCTGTCCAGATGCCACAGGGCAGGGAGGGTGACTCAGCACCACGCTGCTGTCTGGCACCCACCTGACACCTCTGCCTCTGGGTTAAGACTTCTGTGTTGAAGTTGTCAAATATTGGCACTATTTGCTGTGGGAAGGATATTTACTGGGTTTGTTAAAATTTCTATTAAAGTAAGCATGTAAAATGGAAATTCTACACAGAAGACTTGCCTGACAGCTTGTTGTACTGTGCTGTGCTGTGTAACGGTAGGGACACATTGGTTCAGTGTGACATTTGTGCGTCTCGGCCTGTTTAAGACCACAGGTCTGGTCTGGAGGAGGAGCAGAGCCTGTTCATAGACGTGGACTGCAAACACCCGGAGGCCGTGCTGACGCCAATGCCCGAGGGTCTGTCTCAGCAGCAGGTAGGACAGGCAGTAGCACCTGGTGCTCTGCCAGGGCAGCGGCTCCTGGCAAAGGTCTTGGCCGCCATGGCTAGTGGTGCCCACCATCCCACAGCCCTGCTCCCCTCCCCAGCACCCGAGGTCTGCTCCGTGGTGCAGGGCAACCGAAGGGCTCGGGGACCCTGGTCTTAGCTCTGAACTCAGTGCAGGGGGCCTCAAGCACTTCAGCTGTCACCCGAGTGTAGTTGTGAGAAGTGTGTGGAATGCATGTTCTTTCTGAGGGTCATTTTTACTAGCTCAAAATCGTTACAGAGATCTAGCGTATAGGACTGTATAAAGTGTGTGGACTCAGATTGAGGGTAAAATAGACTTTTACTAACTAATGAAGTTACTTAAGTATAATGCCTTCTTAAAATCTGACAAAAAGTAGCAAAGGGGAAAAGTCAGTGGTTTCCATTTGATTATCTTTGGGTAGAAGGAAGAGAAAATTTAAGAAATAAGAACAATATTGCAGAATCTGTGGGGCTTTACCGGAAGGGGTGAGCCTTTTTGAGGTTTTTGAGCTCTTTTCTTATGTGGTACCATGGTACGAATCAGGGAGCTTGAGGAAGGAGTGGCAGGATGGAAGGATAGAAGGACGTGAGAGGTGGAAGGGTGGATGGATGAG